ACACATATCTATGTAAAGGTTCTGGATCGATCTGTTCTTGTCTGTTCTTTAAGAATCTAACGTTTTCGAACTGTCTGTCTCTGTTATCGTTCAAAATCCACTTTTGTCTATGTCCTAATTCTCTCCACGCAAATGTCCAATCAATTTCAAAATGAATCTATATTTGTTTCTGGTGATAAGAGATATTGAGCCTTTTTTATCCTTTCTCATACAATTGATTTAGCTATTAGAAGATAACTATAGTTTTCTAAACGGCTAAATCTGCCAGTATGGACTCTCTGAACTGTTTGTAGGGCACATGAGATCCCATAGGAAAATTTTGTCGAAGTTTTACGACGTTGGGGTCATGTAGTTATAGCATCACATATGAACTTTCTATAATTTCTCACATGCTCACAAGTGAGAACTTCTTTTCACACATGACCACACACGGTTTGACGACTTTCACTAGTGACCACATGCGAAAAATATGACGGGAAAAGTTTCAGTGAACAGTTCACGCGTTGTAACAAATAGAATATACTTTTCACACACCATTTTATGATGTTCCTCGGCTCATTGCAGAATATTCACTGGTGTACACGCCGTTTTATATACTAAAATTTCCCCATGGAATATGTGACTCCTATCTTTCAGCGCCATTATGTAAGTAGTACTGTGAAAAAGTAAGATGACAATTATATAGATTTTCATTTTTTGCTAAATTGTGGGAAAAGGATGAGAAACGGTTTTTATAAGAAAATAACTCAATATGATCTTGAGTGAAAATGATGAGAAATACATCTTTTTTCAATTCCCAACACTTCTCACTTTCAAAAGTGCTCCTGGTCTCCTTGAAAAAATACATTTCTTATTATTTTTCGTCACCATTTTGACAAAGGTCATTTGCTTTGTTCCTCGAAGTTTTCATACGATTTCAGAATCCTTGACCAAAACGTATATACAAAGAGATAGAGAATTTTCCGCGCTACAAAATGAACTATAAATAAGCATTTTGAAAATATGCCCATACAGGACTTAACAGTGTTTCTAACGACTCCATGAATATATTCACATGCGCACATCAACTTAGACCTAAAAACTGTAATATCGTCACGTGTTGCATAAAAACTACTGTATTTCAATATCATTCCAAATAAAACAAGCTCACAGTTATGCAGAAGAGCATTGCTCAACTACAGATTCAACAAACGATGCAAACTGTATAATTCAGATATGCGCAGTACCAGACCCAATAAGGATTAAGCTCGATAACTATATAATTGCTGAATCATACTGGTCTTACATACAATTTTCACAGTTTTCCATCGAAGAAAGTCGTTGTGATTGTAAAACTGGAAATGGAACAGTTGAACAAAGCAAATGACCTTTGTTGAAATGGTGACGAAAAATGATAAGAAATGTATTTTTTCAAGGGGATTAGGAGCATTTTTTGAAAGTGAGAAGTGTTGGGAAGTGAAAAAGGAAGTATTTCTCATTATTTTCGCTCAAGATCGTATTGGGTCATTTTCTTACAGAAACCGTTTCCCGTCATTTTTCTACTGTTACCCACCAATTTGAAACAATTTTTCAGAAATCGTAGATTCTTATGCAAATACGTTATGATAAAAATTTCAATTTAAAACATTGACTCTTTGATATAAGTATCAGAGATCTTCACGAATGAGGAAGACCCATGTTGGCCCGCAAAATAACTTTTTTGAAACGTGTCTTCGGACCGGACCGGGATCAGAAGACTAGCATGTGGGTTGAACTGGACAAAATAATTTGAAACGATCTCTGATAACACCTCTCTATCTTACAAATAACGGATAAATTGAGAATAATACAACGAAAATCAACGAATTTCACGCTTCAATAAATTTACATACCACCGGTATATCACTGAAATCCTGTATTTGCTATGTTCTGTTAGCCGGATCCAAGGGAACAGGATCATGGCGGACCAAGACTTTTGAGCCCGCATACGAGCTGGGCACAAATAATTGCATGGCATGACCTCTAATAGATTAGATCTCTCTGTGAAAAGAGGTTTGGACATGGATTGATTTTATATGAATCTAAATAATCTTATATCAATCTAAAAATTGTTGTAGGCGATTTCTGGATTTCGGTTCCGTTGCTTTTTCGCATGCGTTTTAAGTTGAAATGATGAAAAGTGCTGCCTATTTTTTGCAATGTACTTCTTTTCTCAAACAAAAGCGAAGTTCAAATATCATTTGAAACAATTTTTAGACTTAGATTGTAAGGTTTAGGAAAAAAATATTATTGAATTATGTGAAACTATGTAAAAAGAGTAAAGAAAATACTGAATTATAGTAGAGTCAACAGTACGACGCATTTTATTGCGTTTGTAGAAACATGCTGATAACTTTCTACGGTAAATCACACAGAGTTTGATCATGTCTTATTTTAAAGACAAGAGTTTATTCTACAAATCTACATATTCGAAAAATAATCAATGAAGTTTAAGCGATAACACTAGTAGCTTTTATTAACATGGTTCCTAAAAGCCTAGGCTTTAAGAAAACTTTTGTAACAACCTGTTAAACCTACAAAAACAAATCATAAAGTGTGAAGCAGTATAGATTCAAGACTTCAAGCTATCGATTCATGTAAAAAATTTGAATTTAGTTTTCAGACAAAAAAATCGACTCTCGGTAGACAGTCCACCTTAAATGAAAATCTTATAAGACTATGAATTCAAGGCTTTTGTTAATAACTCCATGAAGTGATATTTTTACTTATAACTCGAAAAAGTAAGGTGATACAAAAACCACTTAAAATAGAGAACCTTCAACTTTGGTGCGATCTTTGTAGTAAGGCTGAAAAAGGAAAAACTTTTAGCATTACAAGTGGTTAATTTTTCTTCCACTATAATAGAAATGAAGTACTGAAAATGTTTCATCTTCTTGTCAGTGATAAGGTTCGATAACTGTAAGGTCTATCTGCGTTAAACTTATCATTGTTATATCGACTTTTGGCAGATGTGAATCTAGGATTTTTCGAATATGCGCGGTCTTCCTGAGTCATCGATTTTGGAAAATACTTAGGAAAAAGACCGAATCTGTCACTGACTACTGCATCAATCACGATATCGCATATAAATTGTAGGCAAACCAAAGCGAATAATTTCAATCTCATATTCGAGGTAGAAGTGTACACGAGCCCGATCATCATGACTGTATCTGACAATTTCGTACTGGCACTTAACATTTGGGTTAGATCAGTTGTACATGTCTAATTGAAGATCACATACTATTAGTTTTGATACAAAAAACTTATGACGATAATTTTTGTTGCTGTCTTCAATGGTCCCTGGGATGTTCTATATGTGTGCATAAAAAATTCACTTTCAATTGTTCCCACTTCATTAACTAGCAGGATCTGTCAGTTTTTCAGTCAGAAAATGAAGTCTTTCTTTTCAAGACTCGAGCTTTCAGAAAGATTTTTTGGCGAGTAACGTTGTGACAGAAAAGGTCCCTATTTTTTGAGAACTTCTGATACAGTTCTGATTTCCTGTGCATAGAGCTGCGCATCTGAAACATTTCTGGAGGTAAGTTTGTAGAGGAGCTAACAGTCTTTCTTTTGGTAAAAAAGAATTTTTCCCATACCCTTCCGCACGTCTGGAAAAGTCGATTTTATAAAGTAACGCTGCGACACACTTTTTTGTCGCATTATTTTTTTTTTCATCTATTCAATGGTATATTTTTAAAATTTTTTGAACAAAATATCTAGGTCAGAAAATTGAAATTAAAGTTTTTAGAAATTTTAATATTGAAAATTAAATTTTTTTTCAGAAAAAAAGTCAGATTTGTGCTCAACATGAAAAGCGGCATCTAGTGATGTGCCCCTATCGATTTTCTGATGAAAAAAATTCAAAAAAAGTTTTGTCAACGAAGTGTCGTGTTACACGGACAAGCCATATACATGTTTTCTTTAGATCGAGCATTGAAACTAATGATATAAATTTCTTTTTTTATCAAGTTTTGTGCAAACCGTATCTAGAAAATATCTCAAAACCAGCAACCTTCTTGAGTTCCATATCACAAAGTTCCTTTCAAGAAAAACTTTCATTTCATCAAATTTATTAATACTGAAAAAATCGAAAATCTACTTTGAAGAAAAAAATTACGGTTTTACTTATGGATTTACTTTATACTACTACAAGAATAGATATACGGTGAAAAACTCTTCTTTCGAGTACTATTTTCTCTCTATTGTATTCGGAGACAGGATTTCATCTATCTAGATCTTATTTTTATTTTTTTTTGTTAGCTCAATATCTTTTAATAGTACGAGATTTACATTAGAATATTTCACTATGAATGGGAATAGCATGACAAAAGAAGTTTGGCTTCATTGTGATTTTTGTTTGGCACTTCTATTCTACTAAAACAGAAGATTTAGAAAATACTATTCCATTTCTAATATCAGTTATGTTCGAGAGGGAGAGAAAGAAGAGAAATTACTGTAAAAAGAGTAGAAAAAGCAGTATTTTGGATGGTTTTTTTTCTTTTTGATTTCCGGAAGTGTAACAACAAAACGGATTTTTCTTTTAGCGAGTTTTATGCGTATCTATATCTATGGAAAAAAAAAATAAACACTCAACACTATTTATTATTATGATTGAATATCATAGCACAAAAGTAAAGTCTCTAAAGGTTTTAAGATCATAGATGGTATTATATATGACTACACAAGAAGAAGAAGAAGAGGAAGAAGAAGAAAAAAAAATGATACAGTCAATCAACCTATCTTTCTTCTTCTTATTCGTAATGTTCAAGTTGATATAGTATTACATTCATTGAACACAGAAACCTCTAAGAAAAAAGAAAACGAAAGAATAAGAAAATTAAAAATAAAAAAGGTTTTTACATGAAGTTGAATGCCACTCCTTCTTCAAAAAAACACAAAAGAAGAAAATACAGAATGACTTGTATCGTCTGAAGAAGAGATCGTGAATGAGTTAAACATATCTTATCTCGTTCTACGAGAGAATGCAAACTCAAACACGAACAATCGAATCGAAATTTTTTGCAGCATTATCAAAACGGTAAGTCATTATCGATAAATATTGATCAATTATTAAAAATCATAATTTTAAAATGAAAATTAACCGATTAAGTGTCACTAAGTCTTGATTACTCAAATTTTTAGAAAGAAAGAAAGAAAGATCAAAATCTTTCCTAACTCAACAAATTTCTTTTTCAATAAAAACTTACAAGATAAGAATTTACATCATCCTCTTACTCAGGTGTTTTCTAATCAATATTTCTGATATATGTCATTTTAGGTTTGATGAAGGTGTTGGATCGTTTTTGGAGAGTTTTGAATCTGTTGCTCAAAAACATGATCATCGTCGACAAAAAATAAAAAAAGATGTATTGTTTAAATTTATAATTTATTTTTTATATATGAGCATTTTATTGTGAATACCTATTTTAATTTGCTGTTTTAGGAAGAAACAGAAAGTCAAAAACCGGCACCCGAATATCGTATTGCATTTAGTGAAAAACCTATTGCATTAACAGAAGATGAATACGAATTATTATACATCGAAGTACTTTATACAATTAAACATAAAATTGGAATAACAACGTCTAAACATATTGGAGGTGAAAATGATTTATATATGTATGCACAAGAAGCATTTGGCATCACGAATACAGAGCATAATCGATTGTTAGCAAAAGCAAGTGAAGAAAAGGTATATGTGAATTTTGTCATGTAATTAATCATAAAATGAATGTGTTCTTGTTCTGGCATTTTATCAGGCACCTATTCTCATTTTGAACATTGAAATTGTTGAAGCAAAAGAGTTAGAAGCAAAAGATGCCAATGGTAATGTGTGAACATTGATTTTGATATAAAATAAACAAAGTATTTATACTTTTTAGGATTTTCTGATCCTTATTGTATGTTGGGTATCGTCCCAGAGGAAAGAAAATTTGTACAAAATGGAGGCGGATCATCAGATGAAGAGGGTGGTTCAACGACAACGGATGGAACTGCTGAACGAAAACCCGGTTTTATGAAACGTTTAAAAAGTTTTCGTAAATCAACTACAAGAAGACGAGAGGGACGAGAAAAAGGTGTTCCACCTGTAGCAGGTGCTCTTCGAGATAAATTACCGGCAAAATATATTCAAACAACAGACGTTAAAAAAGCTACGCTCAATCCGATATGGATGGAAAAATTTCGATTGTAAGAGTTCTTTTCTTTTTTTTTTTTTTGTTCATCATTACCTCACTATTTTCATCATCAATTACGGAAGAGTGCAGAGAGGAAAAGTTTCTTTTAATATTCTCCTGTGGCACGCATGTTAATTATGTTCACTTGGATAATAGATGTAATATCAATGGCCTACAGCATTTTGTTCCTTTTCCGATTGATCTACATTTCTTCTTTTTTTTTTTTTTTCATTTTCATTTAAAGTAATATTGCAAGTGGAAAAACAGAAACATTTCATTTGGACATTTGGGATCATGACGATGAATTTAGCGTATTTGAAGCAGCACGCAAACTTAATCAAGTACACGGATTTAAAGGTTTAAATCGATATTTTAAACAAATTGCTCAATCAGCACGAACAAACCGAGCAGATGGTTCTACCGTTGATGATTTTCTAGGTTCAGTTAATCTTAAATTAAATGTATGATTTTTAATTTTTGATTATAGAATATAGTTAACGGGTACAGATATACTTTTTTTCCTGTTCAGGAAATTCCCTCCGTAGGCATTGATCGTTGGTTTCAACTAGAAGGTAGAAGTGAGAATTCAAAAGTGAGAGGACAAATACATTTACGTGCAAATTTGGCAACACGAGAAGATAGAGGAATACCAGAAGAAGATAATTGGACAGATATTAAACAACATGTTGAACTATTACAAATATTTATTGACCATGAAATAATCAAATTCAAGGTGATTTATATTTTTAAACAAAAAGGAATAAAATTTCTTGATTTTTTCGTGTATATCATTGAATAGGGTAAACCAATGGACTGGAATGGTGAATTAAGTCGTAATGCTGAAACAATTCTTCATCAACATGCCATTCAAGGTGACATAACCATGATACAAACACACATGTGTCGTTGGATTGCATATTCTAAAAAACATCTTGAACGTACGCTAACATATAAACTATTATTAACAATTATTGAACAATTGGAAAATGTTTGGCAACCAACATCATTGAGTAGAGATGAAATTGATATGTTAAGAGAAGCATTTACATTGTTTATTAATCATTGTTTTAAACAGTTGGCTAGACATCGAGAATTATTTCCTGCAGCAAATAAAATAGCTGTTGAAAAATTGGAACAATTATTAACGTAAGAATTTATAAATATTATAAATTATAAAATAATTTAATCTAATACTGATGGATTTTTTACACAATAAATTTGATATACATATCGTCCTATTCTATTTAGAATTATATCAAAATTATATAATATGGAAGTATTTCGTTACTGTTGTCCATTTCAAAATAGTCTTCAACATGAAGTTTCAACAATTATCAAAGTAACGTTAAGATCCGATATTTAAATATGAACAATTACTATGCAAACTTTTTGATATAACAGGCTAGATTATTAAAGTATAATTTTTCTAGAAAATTACATAGATATACATTATCTAATATTAAAATATCGAAAAAAAGAAAAAGAAATGAATGGTACATGTAGTAAAACATAAAAAAATAATCAAAAATTAAAATATATAATATTTTTATATAATAAGCTCATGTACACGAATAGTACAGAATAATAGAAAACATTTTGATAGAAATCATAAAATTTAAGAGCAAAAATCTCGAATAACAGTGATAATTACTTTAATACATCTTTGTTTCATATAAATGAGTTTGTTATTTTCAATTTTTAAGGTTGGTACGATTGAATGGTTTGATCGAATGACAGAAATAACAAAACCACGACTTCGAGTAATAAAATCTCATTTAGAGAGTATAATAAGAGAGAGATTTTTTTTTTTAGTAAAAAATAATGTAAAACGTCTATTAAATTATGAATTCTATTTTAGTCCGATGAAGACACACTTCATTGTGCCAGTGAATTGTGTTATGTAGTTATTGCTGATGGTAAGAATTAATAATGATTCAATTTTTCTCGGTTAACTCTACATTGATTCTTTATTTTTAGCTCATGCAGCCGTAAAATATTACAATCCAATATTTGAAACGTAAGAATGATGATAATGATGTTTTTTTTTAAATCTACAACGTTGATTTTTTTTTTCTTCTCTCGTATATAGAACAGTTAAATTAGCCTATTATCATATTGCTTTTAAAAAAATTGATGCCAAGGTAATCTAGTAGAAGATCACGAAAAATGTAATTATATTATTAAATTTTTTGTAAATTTAGTTAATGGATATCATTTTAAAAGCATTAGAAGAAGAGGTAAATATAGAGTTCCATGTTTTCTATTACTATTCTGGTATCATCACAGTACATGGAACGATGACAACCATTGGTCCATTCAACTAACAAAACATTTTGAAAAAGATGAAATAATTATCTCCTGTTCAATCGTTTATTTTAGCTTGGAGAACAAATTCATCGACCATCTGAACAATTGATTACTGAGCCTGATTCGGCTGATGTAATTCAATTTGCTGCAGCAGCTGAACAAACTGGTATAATTTTCACTAATTTGCTCTTATACTTTTTTTGTTTTTATTAGATATTAATATTTTATAGGTAATTTAGTTATTATATTTTTTTTATTATAGGGTTATCATTGTTTGAACTTTATCTCAGTTTACATGAATTGGTTAAATATAAAATTTATGTTAATGAAACGTATGATTTTTCTGTTATTTAAAACATTCAAGGAAAAAGGATCAAATAAATGGGTTTTTTTCATTCTATCTTTTTATCTGTTTTAGTGATCGTCCAAATTTGAAAACGTCTCATTATTATGTGTATTTTGGTGCTGCCATGAGAAAATGGTTGTCAATTGCCCGAAATAAAGTGATATATCGAATTGAAAAATCTGTTGAATTAGATAAACCCGAATCAATAACACAATTTACGAAATTTACATCATCGTCTCTTGATGTTTCAAACTGTTGTAGTCAAATAGCACAATTTTGGAGACGTTTAGGTTAGTGTTTTAAGTCTTCCTGTCAGAAGTCTATTTTCGTCCTAGAATATTCGAGTTTGACAAAATATTAAGAGAATGCGTCAAAAAATAGATGTTTCTTCAACAAAAATTTCAAGAAGAAACTTGTAGTGATATTGAAATGTAGCGAAGACTTATCGCTACAACATAACAGAGCCGGGTTATTTAAATTTTTTTCATATATTTTATCATACAACATGTATGAAAATGATCGGAAAAACAGCTTTGGCTCTTTTACACTATAGCGTCAAATCTTGGCTACATTTTGAGATTCCCACGAGCGTTCTATCAATCAAAATGAGAAATCTTTGTCGAAAGAATTAATCTTTTTTAATTTTTGAGGTTTCTAAAAAACTTCCTTGAAAATCATGAAGAGAGAGAGAGATAAAGATAGAGCAGAAAGTGATAAAGATTCCGAAAATAAACACTTTTGAACTATCTAACCATGTATAAATATCAAAATTTATATTTTTTAAGAAAATTGATTTTTTTAACAGAGAGGAGGGCTTAACATTTTTATCATCGTTTTTCATTCTGTTACAGCATGGCCAGACATCGTTGGTAGTATTCCATATTTAATAAAAATTACCGAAGATATGGGTCAAGCAACAGTTTTATATGCTAATTTGGTTGAAGGAAAACTTCAAGCAAGAGGATATTATGAAGCAGTATCAATTTTTCTTTATACTCAAGATGTAAATACTAAATGATAAAATTAATTTTCTTTATTTATGTTTTTCATTTTATATGTATAGTTATCTGTGACTATCAACAATATCGAACGTGTTCGCGAATCATTTAAAACTTTACCAATTGAGTTGAGTTATGATAAATTATTAGTGGCAGCTGAAAAATATCACAATATTAATGTTGTTGAAGAAAATAGACGAAAAATTGAAACAATTGTTGCTACATGTAGTCAAGAAATAGCAGAAAAAATTTATAAATTATTACATAAAGTCGTTCAAATAATGGAAAATGAATTGAAACAACATGTATTCCATATGATTGAAGCACCCGAAGCTGTTCAAGCTCAAGAAACAATGGCACCATTAATACAATATTTAGATAATAATTTACTTGCATTTAAAGATTATATGATCAGACATAATTTTACAAGGTGAATACTATTTTATAAAACTAAAAAATATATATCGTTATTAATATATGTTCTATTTTTTCTTTTTTTTAAAGGCTGTTAGAAATCGTATGGACTGTCATATTGGAACAAATACTAGTTGATGTACAAACAGCATCATCCGTAAGTAAAACAAGTACACAGAACTAAATTTCAAACTGAAATTTATTTTTTTAAGAGACCTATCTCTTGTTATCAACGACTACTCAAATCATTAGATACATCATTAATCGATTTTTTTCATGCTGACGATCAAGGTTTACCCAAAGATAATTTAAAAAATGACAAATATAAGGTAAATCGTAAATGTCAGATGTCGATTAAAATACAAGCATCATTGTCTCGTTCTCTTTCTCTAGCTTGTCAAACGATTAGTTAAATATCAGTCCACTGATACGTGTACATTAATTAAAATGTATTATCAAGTAAGTAATTGATATTTCAACTATCTAATATCGAGACACTTTTAGAGAAAAATATGTTAGTGTCCAAACGCTGATGCCGATCAGTCTCAGATTGATCTAGGCCAAATTTCAATCGGAGTTTGAACTTTGACAAAATTCCTCAGAATATACCACATAAAGTTGAGTTTCCACGTTCAACGAGCATTTGAGAAATATCATCTCCATACATCAAAACCATGTCATTACTACCCAATTTCACCAATATTAAGGTGATTTTCCAGTGTATGACTTGATTGTGGATTGAATTTTATCAATAAGATCGTTATTTTTCCAAGAAGAAGGTAGAATGAGAGCAAAGCTTTGTTTACTACAAATAAAGTTTTTCTTATGCACGCATTGATTTTTCTATGATTACTTTACTATTTCATGTCTCTCTGATAAGGTCTACACTGTGAAAATGAACGAGTATTCTCGAAAAGTTAAGAGGTTTTTGCAAATGTTACTGTATGAAACCTTTTTGGGTTTTCGAGAGTACCTTGTGGGAGGACTTTCAAAACTTCGAAAACGCTTTTTCCATTCGCATACCCTTTTAAAGGGTTTTCAAAAGACTATTCGAACCCTAAAATATCCAAAACGGTATTATATAGCAACATTTTCGAAAATCTTTAAAAAATAGATTTTCGAAAGTTTTAATATCCTTTCGAAAATCTTTTCAAGTTCAGTGTCCGAAAAGAAATTCTAAGTAACTTACTATTTTTTTTTACAGTAGATGTGACAAATGTAAATTAGAGTGGATGAGCAGTATTTTTTAAACTTTTTGACGCTTGTACTTTTTGACAGAATATAAAAAAATGATTATTTTTCTAATGAGAAAAGGAGAAAGGGTCCATCCAGAAATATGATGATCACATTTTTATCTAGGGACAATATAGTCGAAATATTTAATAAATATTTCCTCAGTCTTATCGAGCACTAACAACGAAGACGAAGAGATGCCATGTATTTTATGGGTCATACGAGGAATAAGAATAAGAGTAAAAAGCGTTTGTACTTGAGTAAATAGAGCAAAATACTCAAAAAAAAATAAAAGTATTATTATAGAACAATAAATGAAAAATAATATAAATAATATTCAATAGGAAAGAATAAACATAGAACTTAAACCCAGCAAGTTCCGTTATGGAGACACACAGAATGTTCCTTCTCTTCTCAAGGCTAAAGTGTTATAATCTCTGACAATGAACGAGCTTTTACTACTGTTTTCCGCGATATAGGCGGACTCAAGCATATTTGAGAGCAGGGTTGTTAGCTGCTGAATTTGAGGTAGCTCCTTTATTTACTATTTAGCGGAAATCGAATAAAATAAAACGCAATATAGTGAATAATTACAATTAGTTTATTAGAGCAGTTATAAAGTGAGAAGTGAAGAACGTGCTGGGAAAGGGGAAGGGATTTCTGAATATTCCTCTTACTGTCGCTTTGCATTCAAATCAAAACATGAGAAAATATTACTTTCTAAAATGGAAACGGGTTTCCGAAACAGATTTAACACAATCAAAAAGGTCTTTTCTAAAACCCTAAAGGGTTTTTAACCATTCGAAAACCGAAGGAAACTAATTCAGATACTCAACAGAGTATTTTCTAAAACTGACAATAGAATTTCCCAGTATGCTTTCAGATTTCGAAAAAGTTTAGACAAGAACGCGTTTTAGAAAATACCCTGTTTGATATTCGAGGATACCATTTTGAGTATGCGAAAAATTTCTTTTTACTCAAGGAGTTGTCGAAAGTTCGAATATACTGCGGATATTCTTAAATACGGGAAAGGGTTTTCTAGCATACGCTTTTTTTTAGAATGTACTCTGAGTTTGATCTGAGGAAATTTTTAATCTCAGTTAGGTCTACTTCAAACTGAGTTTGGACAAGAACCATTAGTCTAATTCGTGATTGAACCACAATTTTTTCATGCAAACAAAATCGATCCAGTTAAATCTCCGATCGTAGTTTGAACTACTAAAATTCAAACTAGGATCGAAGTTTCAACTAGTTTAAACTCCAATTGGAATTTTGCCTAGATCAATCTAAAATTGATCTGGACCGGAGTTCAGATCCTAACAAATATATTTTTCATCAAAAAGGACAAATTACAAGAACAAGAACGAACGACAACAAATGACTTAGGCAAAATATATTGTCGAGCATATTACCATACGAAAGAAGAAACACTTTGTATTGAAGGTAAAAAATATAAATAGAAATGAAAAAATAATATTTTAAATTTGTTTTTACATATTTTAGTTATTAGTTGTAAAAATTTGAAACCGTGTGATTCAAATGGATTAAGCGATCCATTTGTCGAAATTCAATTATGTCCATATTATATGTTTAGTAATTTTAGTAAACAATCAACAACAATCATAAAAAAAACACTTAATCCAGTTTTTAATGAAAAAATTGAATTGTAAGTTTTGAAATTATTTTTATCATTGATCGAATGACTCTATAATTTTTTTGTTTATCTTAGTCGAATATCAAAAAAAGAATGTACGGCACAAGGTGCAGTTATTCAATTTATTATCATGGATCACGATCTTATGTGGAGTAATGATTTTGAAGGTATGAAATAATTAGAAAATAGTATCTTACATTTTTAAGTTTATTTCATTCTTATTTTCATAGGCGAGGCATTTATGGAAATAGCTAATTTACCAGGTGTAAAAAGTGAACTTGGTGATAGAGGATTTGAAGATTTAAAAGAAATTGAGATTCCACTGACACATCCAAAAGGTATAAATCACATTATCATCTTATAAATAATTTATCTAAATAGCCTATTCAACTATTCTGATTTAGTTATGAGAAGTCGAATCATTGAAATACTCGAATTACGTACATCAGACAAAATTGCAATGGATTTTGTTCGAAAAAGACGAGAAGCTGAAAATTTATGAACTGTTGATTTACATAAAAGAAAAAAATTCGCTTTTTAATTCCATATATTTATTTTTCATTCGTCTATTTTTGTATATATAGTTGGATTTTAGTCAGTTGGTGTTCGAAATAAATTTTATTTTTGACGTTTACTACAATAGTTAATATTAGTCATGTACGATGATCTATGTGTATGCATAGATCATCACATATTCAGAAACGGACGGAAAAGACATAGATTTTATTTTAACCAATTTGTACAGTTAATATCCCAAATTCACGGCATTATATATACACGCGTTGTTTTGGTTCTATTGTTATTCTACAAAGCTCAATAAATAAAAAATATGAATACAAAATTGATAGTTGAGTCAAAATTACTCGAAATATATTTGAACAAGAAAGGCTATTAAATAAAAATTATGACTACACCGGTAGCAATAATTGAAAACTGTTTCACTATGCCACATCTAATAATGACCATATTTCTTTTGTTAAATTTATTGTGAAAATTATAACTTTAATTACAGTAAATCAACAATTTTGTTGCACGATCTATTTACGAAATGCAGATGAAATAAAAGTAAAATTATTGACTTTCTCTTCAAAAATACTTAGACGAATCTTATTTTTGTCTGCCACACACATCTTGAAAGCGAAGAGTACATCTTCTAATTAGTCTATATGAATTTCTGAAAATGACGCCTTTATTTTCTCATCTACTAGGTTTTTCATATTTCTTAGTGACAGTATAGATTTTGTTTTGAGTATTCTGTTAGTCACTGACTAACGATTAGCAACTGCTATTGTGAATAGTAAATCGTTGAGTGACTTTCTAAAGAAAATTTTCATGAAAGAAAACGATTCTTTTTCTGCCTTCATATTTATCGATTTTTATAAACATCTGTGATTAAAATGGAAATCTTTTTTCCATAGAGAGTTCAGCTTCCTATCTAGTTGTTCTGAATTATGGTGAATTTAATTGGTACGATTGTTTAACCTTCGAAGTGATGTTATTATGACAATAAAATGTTTAGCGAGCGACAATATACAGACAAGAATGTAATAACACCCACTAGCAGATAGTTCTTAAAAGTTTATCGTTTAGAGAAAAAGTCATCTGAACGCAATGCTGTGCATAATGAAATAAGTCTTCCCACTCAATATATATATAAAAATAGATCCTAACGATAACTTTCAACTTAGTCTCTTGATGAGGAAATCCACGGTTGTCGTACGTGTTGTCACGCATAAAGAGTAGTTTATAGACATAGCCACGCGTAGCATTTTGTTTCTTACGCATATCTACGCACAGAAACACCTTCACTCGTCAATAAGTGTGAAAAAAATACGAGTTGGATCGTATCAATAGTCTTAAAAGAAAAGATTGCATTACTAAAATAACATGTATCACGGACTACTGTACAGATCTTCTCAAAAATTCAAGAAATGTCTAGAAAAGGACGTTTTGACTAGTTTCCTTATAACTCGATACTGTTGACTCCATAATCGGTCAAAAGGGGGCATTTTAGACAAGCATGGAAGATGTACTGAGTACCGTTGTCATCAATTATCTAGCACTTACGATGCGATCCCTAGCAAGCAGCACATAAAAGAGTAAAAGAAAGGAAGCATAATGGAAGTATCACAGCAACACGAGGGGGAATCTCAGTTTCGCAGATGATCCTGTCAATAACGCCGTATTGCACAAAGCTAAGATGTCCGATGTGCGGCATATTTTTTCGTCTCAGTGCATCAATAGAAAAGAAAGAACAGAAAGATATGCATGTGCGAAAAGAGATGATATCCTCTTATTTGCTAGTTCTCTAAAATGAACCAGAAAGAAAAACGTGTCTATATTATATCAAAAATGAAGAGAATCGGTTACATTAACTATCCACTGCAGTTCAGGATAGGACCGAAAGACTCTTATCGAGAACGGTAAAGTACACAAACAACTGTGATAATACGATATCATTCTTTCGATCCAGATCAAGCGCCAGCACTTCAGTATGATAGGCAAGATGAATATTACAAGTGAATTGATTCGAATGAATATTGTTTTTGATGGATTTGCAATCAATGTAAAATTTCATGAGATGTCTTAATAGATTTAACAGCATAGTTCTATAGTGATTATACCGATAAGCATCAAGAACAAGATTAGGAACAGTTGTACGATTAGTTAAGTAGTTAGTAGTTATTATCTGATTATTTGTATATAGATGATGAGCAGTTAGCCTAATGTTTTAAACTATTTATTTTTCTTTCATTCTGTGTTTCTTGAACTGTCTGCCCGTAGGCGATAATAGTAAAATTATCAGAAGACTTGTAATCATTTTTAAGTTACTAAGTGAAAAATTAATAAAATTCAATAAGCAAATAATTTTTCTTTAAATTATCCAGTATAATTTGTAAAAATAAGGATAGAAAAATCAACTTGAGAAAAAAAGTAAAATTCAAGGTGCAAAACATAAGAAATTAGTGAGTTATTTACTCGGTTACTACGAAATAAAGAGTACTTTTTATCTTTTGAAAGAGATCGACTCCTCGTAACTAAAAATTTATGTACAAAACACCTATAAAATCACCTTTCTTTAGATTCTTGACTCTTTTAATAAAATTGCCTCTTGTGTTACTTGTTACAATTTTGACTATCGTTTATTTCTCTAGTTCCTGAATTAAGTCACAACTTGCTATTCCACATCTCTCCACTTGTTGTAAATACTTCGGACTTTTGCAATTTATCAGCGTCTATAAGTCATTTTTCTATTGTCTTTTATCTAGTTTATCGTCCACCCTATTCTTCTGTACGGCATAATCACTCTAAATACGTTAACATCCTACCACACCTAGAATTGATTTCTTACTCCAAACTGTTTCTTCATCATTCTTTCATTCTGCTTTCACTGACTAGGATAAACATCCAAAATAAAATCAGTAATTTCTTTCTCTTCATTTAGTATCTTCTACCGTAAATTGAATCCATTGTCAACGGTCAACCGTGTTTATTTTACTTCTTAATTTTATTTTCTTCTTCCGTTATTACTCTATTTTCAATCCATTTTTATTTCGTTTTTGTAGTTGGCTATTTGTTAATATAATTGTCACTCACTTGACTTTTTTCCTTTTGTCTTGCTGTTTTTGTTGTTTGACATAACGTGAATCATTGTTATTTCAGGTCGAGAAATTTTGGTGACTTTCACTTTTCGTGAATAAATGAATCTTGGCCTTTGCACTTTTCTAGTCAGACGAGGAAAATACGACAACAGAACAAAAACCAACCAAGATTCATATATTCACGAAACTTTACCACAGATTAAGATAAGAATAGTTGTGGTTGTTTACTTCGACAAATAGAGTTGGAATAGAAGCCTCCACACGGAATGCGTAAGTGATACATTGTATATTGGTTGCTCACTATTAATTGGCTTATGGCCAAAGAACTTCTCAAATGGTGACGTGGTTAGCAGCTGATTTCTATTTTTTCACGAACCTAAATAAATAAACTTTATTTTTGTGTGATTCATCTTCTAATATCAAAATCTGTAGTACAGTATAGAATGAGGTACATTTATAAAACTGAGAGAATGGAAGAACGTGTTTGTAATTATCAATAGAATAATTATGCTTGCTTGAGAAGGTCATCACATAGATAGATCTAATGAGATGTGTATTGTGACTTTTTATATCGAGTTTTTATTCTTGAAGAGTATGCACACTTGATTTTTTTTCTTTGTTTTAGATTTCTCAGTTTTAACCCTAAAATTTTTCTCTGATAGGATTGAGAGAAAAACGTGAAATTAACTTAAATATTAAATAAAATAATATGGCTTACGCTTACTTATTTAAGTATATTATTATTGGAGATACAGGTAATTTATTTTTCATTTAGTTTTCTCTAATCATATATACGTTTGGTCAACCGCTTAATAAGAGTTCACAGTAGGAAAAATATACTCGTTTTTTTTCTTCACTTAGGCGTTGGTAAATCATGTTTGTTATTGCAATTTACTGATAAAAGATTTCAACCAGTACATGATCTGACGATAGGTATGTATTGACATTAAATGTTCATTAACTGTACTAGATATTTTTGATTTATTAGGTGTGGAGTTTGGTGCACGAATGATTACAATTGACGGAAAACAAATAAAATTACAAATATGGGATACAGTATGTATAGTTAGAACTGGTGTAAGTGTTAGTTTATGAGAGTGAATGTAATTATTTATTTAATAGGCTGGTCAAGAAAGTTTTCGTTCTATAACAAGATCGTATTACCGTGGGGCAGCAGGAGCTCTACTTGTCTATGATATTACACAGTATGTAAATATGATTGTTATTTTTTGCAAAAAAGTAGCACTTAGTGCTGAAGTGGATGCCGGCGGATACTAAGTGCTGTTTCCCCCTTCTATTTCTATGTTTTCATAATATAAGTTCCGTATTTTATAGACGTCATACATTCAATCATTTAACAAGTTGGTTGGAAGATGCACGCCAACATTCTAATTCAAATATGGTTATCATGTTAATTGGAAATAAATGGTAAATTGTACGAACTTTTGAGCTAAAGATATTGAATCACATTTTTCTTTTGTAGCGATTTATTTGCACGTCGTGAAGTACAAAAAGAAGAAGGTGAAGCATTCGCACGTGAACATGGACTGATTTTTATGGAAACATCGGCTAAAACAGCTGCTAATGTTGAAGAAGTAAGAAAACTTGTGCTTGAACAGTACTGCATGAGAAAAAGACTAGAATTAATTTTTTTATTATTCATTTATCACGATATGAAAAGATCGACTAGTAATTTGTGCATATTTTAGGCATTTATAAATACCGCGAGAGAAATATATAACAAAATCCAAGAGGGAGTATTTGATCCAACAAACGAGGTATATCTAATTATATTTTGTTTTCATTTTCTTTATACTTTTATTAACATTTATTTTGTTGTGTATTTCAAGGTTAATGGTATTAAAATTGGACCTCAACATGCAAATCCACGTCCTGGAGAACGTCCTAGTTCATCAGCTGACAAAACTGGCTGCTGTTGAGAGACAGATGAATACAAACAACGAAAAATTAATAAATGAATATTCGATGTGTTTCACAACGTCATTCGCTTGCCTCTATGTTGTTTGTTTTTAATTTACTTTTTTCTTTGTAATCTATCGTTATTTCTTTTTCTTTTTGTCTGTAAGCGCACTTTTTACAACCATAAACGAACCAAATATAATTATAGACTGTAAAAACACTACACTCAGTCACACAACAAAATGTAGAGCAGGTAACTCAAAAAAAAAAATGAATGTGTTAAAATTGTTTCGCTTTTGATATTTATTATTTTTTTTTCGTTGACCTGCTCTGAATAAAGCGATCGTATTTGGTAAGAATTTATTGAAAACGTACATTGATATATGACTTTATTTGTAAAGATAAACCAGTATGAAATCGTTTAACGTGTGGTACTTCTTTTTTTCAACTTAATTTGTTTTTTTTTGTTTCTAGTTTATGTCTTTTATGGAAGTAAAAACAAATATTTCTTGTCCTCTCTCACTCAGTCTAATATATTGGTAGATTCATTGGTTATTTCAGCCTCTATAACATATTAAGCTCACCAATCTAAGATGTCTGACTTATTCTCATTCAGCCGATGAGCAAAGTTTTTATTCGTGCAATTGTAAATGTATTAAAACGTTTTTGACAAAAGAATATAGATTTGGATTTAATTTTAACTCATTCTTGTTCTTATATTACTCGTGCATTCCCATTCTCAAATTAATTTAAATGTGGTTATTGGTGTGCGTATGTATATCTATTCATTTATTTGTATTGTATTACAGTGAACATTATTATTTATTTATTTTTTTTGTTTGTTTGTTCGGTTTTACTCTTAAATGTGAAACGGATGATATTTTAGCGCCGTCTTCATGCTGTCATACACAAATATAAACATGTTTTTCAATGACAACAAAATGTTTTTTTTTCTTTTTCAATGTTTGGTTGTTTTTTTCTCTTCGTCTTTTTTTTGTTCATATTCTCTACGTTTTTCCTTTTTTGGTCTTGTAAACCTTAAAAAAGTGTTAAAAAAAATAAAATTTTAGATGTCTTGCTTTGTCAATTCAGATTATGCACTTTTAGTTAATATTATGAAGTCCAAGAGTGGAGGATTTCTAAGCAATGTTACAAAATATCTAGAACGATAATGGTGTTAACAGCGGTTCGTAATACATCTGTCTTTATATTTATTTGATAAAATATTTCAGAATATAATGAGTAACGGTTTGGCACGTAAAGTATCATAAAAAATTATCATTTTATTTAAATGTTTGTCCATTAATGAATGAAACCATATCTAAAATGATGTTCAAAACAAAACTGAGAAATGAAGCCGCATTTCATACAATATTCTGGTTCGACAGTTACTATTCAAAGTTTTCGCTTTTAATTTCAGATTTTTGATTGTTATGTTTCAAAGGTTCCTAAAGCCAACAGTTTTTGTTTCTAATTGTTCAAATCGTTGTTGTCATTGATGACTCCATGTTAAATAGTGCAAATTATTCCAAATGTGAAAGGATAAAATGAAATATTCCTTCCAATGATATAATATAGTACACAATAATAGAGCACTAAAAATATTTGATAAAATAATTAAAAAATGGCTTAAATTCTATAAGATGTATTACAACTTGACAAGAACTATCCCTAATCTTTAAGCTAATCGAGATGCACTATAAGAAAGTCAACTATTCAATATAAACTAATTAATATACTACTAATAATACTGTGAAATAGATAGAGAGATTGGATCATTCAATCATACTTTAGTTGAAAATAGTTGTCAGATTGCAGAGAGTAAGAAATGATTATGTGCAATGAATAAGTAAAATATATCTTTCCACTTTTATTATACGTTCTCTATAAAATTATCTGTCTCATATGAGTAATATAAAAATAGTTTTTTTTATTGAGATAATTTTCTTTTAGAAATTATGGATTTAATTGTTAAATGTCAGTACACCAGAAACGTTGAAAATCAATAGTAAAGACTGGCCAAGACTGAACAAATATGCTGTGTCCAACATTTTATTTAAATTTAAATATTGAAAATAACCTTACTTTAGATTGTCAGAGAATGTGTGTAACCGTGCTTCTTTGCTGAATGATTCGTCATTTCTCTCTTGTTTTATACGTTTATTTATTTAAAATGTCTGATAGTGGGCAAAAATGTGTATTTATTTCCGTATGTGTGTATGACTGTATATGTTCTTCTTTTAAAAAAGTAAAAATACAAAAGTCAGTACTATTTAACGATTTTACGTGTAATGAAAATGCTGTTTGTTCAATTCAGTTCTTCCTTGAAATTCTATTTATTGAAGATGTCACATAGTATTAGAGAAGAGTTCGAAAAGATCGAACAAGAACGAGGTTGGTCCACGTTATTTTATGTAAGTGAACGTTATTTGAATGCTACTGCCATGTTTCATTTAACATGTTTTTGGTTAGAGATTGGCCACAGAACACGGTATACGAACATTGGAAAAGAAAAATGATATTGCACTGATGAATTCAAATCGAGCATTAAATCGTTTTCGTGACGTTCTCCCATATGATGATACCCGTGTTCGTTTAAAAAATGGTCCAACAGATTATATAAATGCAAGTCTTATCAATGTACCATTAGCAAAACGACATTATATATTGACACAGGTTATAATCAAATGATTTTACAAGGCAATAATTCAATTGTGTGTCCATTTGTTTTCTCTAGGGACCATTACCAACAACATCTGAACACTTTTGGCAAATGATATGGGAACAAAATAGTTGTGTGATAGTCATGTTAACGAAATTAATAGAAAGAGGATATAATAAATGTTGGCTGTATTATCCAGATTATTCAAATGATTCAGAGTTGATTTATGATCAAGTAGATTTAAAGGTGACATTTATATCAGAAAAACCTGGTCTATTTTATACACAAAGAAAATTTGACTTAACGAATATGAGAGTAAGTTTTTGAAGAATGCAGTGTATCTACAGTGTGAAGAAATAGTTACGTATTATTTGTAAAATACACATGATTTCGTTTTTAATCATAGACGGGTGAAGTTAGACCTATTATTCATTGGCATTATACAGATTGGCCGGATCACGGTAACGCTTCTATGTTTAACGAAGAAAATGGATGTTCTAGATCTCTGAATGTTTTGTTAGGTGCCCCTGAATCAGCACAAACGTTTCTTGAATTTTTAATGAAAGTTCGACGTTCCGGCGCCTTTGATCCACGCTACGGCGCACCCATTCTCCATTGTAGTGCGGGGATAGGAAGATCGGGTACGATAATTAAGAATTTAGTTAGATATAGTCTATTACTGACAATCGTTGTTATTTTTCTAGGAACATTTGTTCTTGTTGATTCTATTCTTGTAATGGTAAGCAAGTTAAATATTTATTGTATAAACATTAGCTACTAAATACTAATGTTTTCATTTTAGTTGGCTCATACAGCTAATCCTAAAGAAATATCTCTCACAGAAGTTTTGGCTCACATTCGATTACAACGACACGGTCTTATTCAGACCTATGAGCAATTACGGTAGACATATTGAATAGGTAGAGATATCGTATAATTTAACATATCTTTTCTTATTAGGTTTTCTTATCTAGCAATCATAGAAGGTTATAAAATACTAGACGCTCTAGAAGCATCACACGCACCATTTCTCGACGAATCATATGAATTATCATCAAATTCAGAATCATCGTCGGAAGAAGACGATAATTATGAACATAAAAGGCAACCGTTTTTTCGAGAAGATAATATAATGCGTTCCACTGCACTATCAGACAATTTAGAAGATATCAACACAGAATTAATACATCGTCTAGATTCAAATGCATCAATTTACACACCAATGACATCAGCACCCGTGAGAAATAATTCATTCACACTATCAACATTGATCAGTGGTGATATGAAATCCGAATTACTCTTGACCAATCATCATAATAATGGAGAATCATCGACCATTACACCGTCAACAACAGAGCGCACGAAAACTGTCTCACCACTAGCGGATGTTACTGCAAAGTAAGAACATACGTGTAAACAATTAGAGCACTGGACTAACTTCTCATAGGAATGACCGCTAAAAATGTCTACAGAACTCCTCTATAATATATGATGCAAAAGTAACTGGATAAATATCGAGCAGTACAGCTCTATCTTGACAAGGAACTAAACATCTAAAAGTTTTGTTTGAAAAGAGTAAAGTTTAAACAACAAAATTTGTATTAGCAACATCCAGTAATCAACAAAGAATTTGTTGCACTAAAATCCAAATAGTCATTGAATAAGTGCTTGCAAAACAAAAGGTTTTTTTTCACTGGAGCCTGCTATAAGCATTTACTTTTGAAACACAATACATGAAAATGTATATAACTCTCTCGATATCATCTGTTTTGAAAGTTTGAAAACTACACGATAGTAGTATTTTTAACAGAAGCTTTGCAGAAAAAATCATAATCTATCATGTACATTCGGAGCAATTAATAAATGAATCACTATTTATTAAAAGCACGTGTAATTAAGCTGCTTCGTATGCCATTTTGTAGAAAATTAAACATCGATTTATAATATTTGTTTCGAAAATGTACAAAAATATTTTTTGGCTATTTTACAAGTTTTCTGCTATTTAACAAAATAAGTATTTCTTCCTAAAAACTTAATGAAAATCACATTTTTTATATAAAGAGTAATTCAAATACTATTATAAGTAGTAATTTAGCAGTTTTTCACCATTCTTATAAGTAATTAAAGTTTGGCGTGCGATAAAAGTATTCCGCACTGAGGTACAAGCACTTATATTATACTCTATTGAATGAGAAGATGGAGTTGCACTATTTTCAGGAATGTTAACTCAAAAAATACAATTTCATTATCTATTAAACGATAGGTCAACACTGAAATTTTTAAAACGAAAATAGTTTTTGTAAGTAAGAGCTGTGCTTTTTATTTTCAGTGATACTAATGATGATAAAACATCATTACGTTTACGAACAGAACGTTTGAAAAGAAACGAAATTTTGGATAAAAAAGTGCAAGATATAAAAGAAAAACTTCAAAACAAACAACAATTATCAAAACGTTTGACAAATTCCATTTTTGCATTGTTCTCGTCAAAAAAGCGTCGACCATTATTAATCTACGGTATTGTTTCGCTATTAACACTAACTGGTACGATATTTTTTTATAAATTTTATTATAATGGTGGTATAATAATGAGAAAAAAATGATTTGTTCACACACCAGTTATTCTCATGTTAGTTGATAGTAGATCGACAATCTTTCTTGATCAATTTTTAATTTAATTCAAGTGATGTTTCATTCGTCCATGTAACAAAAAAATATCATCTTTCTACATTGTTGTGTCTTTTTCTTGTTATTATTGTTGTTTTATATTTCCTTCCAAATATTCTAAGCTGTTTACGGAATGATTGTATAGTTTTTAATCTTTCACATAAACAGTGAATATTTTTTTCAAAACGAATCTCATTAATTCCATTTTATTATTACGTTAAAATGTTACTTCATTAACAAAAGCACATACATTGCACAATATTGGTAAAATCTTATAGATTGCACGATTGTATTTGACACATTCTATTTCTATGACTCTTTTTCTCTATGCAGAGTGTAGCTTTTAAAAGGAACTTTTCGATGTTAGTGCATGATAAATAAATAAACATTTCGATCTTTTAATGTTGATTTTATTCACAAAAATTGTACTTTTTTCTTTCTTCAACGTTTTTCTTCTCTGCAATTTGTTTTTGTATAAACTTTGTTTTGAAAAATTGAAAAACAAGTGATAACATAACTGAGTTTAACTCAATCGAATGTAAATCGCATATTGAACGTGATTGTGAAAGTCTAAATGAAACAAACAATAAAAAAAACACTTAAAAATGTATCTAGAATAAACTTAGACAAATATTCATAGAATATGGCAAGCGATTAATATTTTGTTTAAATGCAACGTATGCAGGTACTATCTGTTTCATTGAATCTATAACTAAATGTGTTCACAATAGTAATAGATCTACATTGATAACATCAAATGTCCTGAAGATTTCTCGAAGTAAAATGTCGATAATTGTCATATACAGAACATAATGACAACTTTCAGAATTTCTTCCAAGAGCAGAAAATAGACACTAAACCGAATGTAAGTTATTTTAAGACATCTTACATTCAAATTACGATAATGGTTTTTACCTGTAAACCTAAAAAAAAGCAGAGTGTAATTTCGTTTTGTAAAGTACGCCAGCAATTGTACATCTCTAGATCCGCGGCGAGAGTTGTAGTGGAGTAACACCACATGTGTTTGTTTATTATTGGTTGTATTCTTCCTATTTTTTGTGGGCAATTCACCGTAAATCGTATGATCTTAAAAACATTAACGATCTTTTTTTCCAATTATCAGTTTCAACATCACTATTTAGTCTCTTAGTAGAACAACAAACTGATAGAATGTGAATGATTGTTGGTTGGAAGAAAAAGAAAAGTGCCCATTGAACTTGGTATTTTCTGAAGAATGAGCATAAGTATACTTACATGAGTATGCTCATTATGAATTACTGATTTATACTAAAACAAAGCTACACATCTATATTATTCCTAATTATTGTTAAACACATTTAATAAAAGGTTCATCATTGATATTTCGATCGTTTTTTCACATTTGAATGATAAATTTTTTAATTGCTGGTCAAGAATCGCGACCATCAATTTGTAGGTCGAAATGCTTTACAGTAGTGTACCAGCAAATTATTGATGTTTCAACACCACCTTTTGTGACTACACAAAAGCAACGTAAACGTCTTTTTTCTACTTCATTTTTAAAAGATGTCAATCAATGAATCTTATCAACAAGATATTAAGATTTAAGTAGGCGTCATGGCATCTACGAAGGACATATAATCAAATAGAATCCCATTTCTACGTACATATAGTACAAAATTTTGATCAAGAAAAGACAAATGTGCATTGAGCAATTTTATTTCCGTTACAAATGATAAAACTTAATTAAAACAGTAACAAATCATTACTCACAGGTAATTTTGATTAAACAAATAAAATGATTCAGAGATATAAAAAAGTGAAATGCTAGTGAATTGTCAGTATGCATTGTATATACAAATTTACGGACTTGAATTAAAATCTGCGTGACAAAACCTTCATGTTAGAATTTTAACACGTATACTCTGTACTTAGTATTATCATAGAAGGGTATTTTCAACAACTGTGTCGTTTTTCAACCTAACTTTTCATGTTAAATAATAGTTGTTTACAGAACTAGTATCGTATTTTTTATTTGAGATATGATTTTTAGTAATTACAAAATTTTTCAAGAGACAGAACTGTTTTGCTGGAAGATTTTAGAGAGATTATTTTCATAATATCGTTGTACGTAAGACACGTTGAGAACGAGCTATAGTTATAAGCATCTGATAATGTAATGCAAATTTTTAGTATAGGTTAATATGATCAAAATGGTGATGTCAGAAGTAGGTTAAGTATGACAAGAGGATAAAACAAATTTTTAGCAGCTGAAACAATATTACAGAAGATTAGCACTTTTTTATTATCGCTTAAGATAATACATTCATCTCAAATCCATAGAAAACTATTTGAGATTCTCTTAATAGTTACTCTGTCTCTCTATAAGTAAGTCAACTATCAATAGTAATTGAAAGTGATACCAAAATGAGTCAACTTACAAATCTAACAATTTTGCTTATGGTGATTATACCAGTAGTGATTACATTCAAAATACATTATTCAACTATTCAATGTAACCTATTACTTTGGAATAATTACAAAGATCTCACATGTCCTGGTAACCCAGATGACACTTATTCCAATCTTGATTATAGTGGAAATTGCACAATGTTTCCAAACGATCCTAGTTGGACAACATACAAACTAAATATTGATTTCGCAACAAATACAGTTGTTAGTTTTGTTGCATTCAATTTCAAAAATTGTTATCGTGGAAATGAATTATTCTTCATTCAAAAATCAACAAAACTTAATGAATGCACACAGTTTGTTATACCGACTGGTACACAAAATATTACAATGGGAACGCTTAGAATCAACTGTAATTCGTAAATGTAGCGTGTTTCAGATCAATATGAGCTAGGCCATTCCATGTAACAGTCGTGTTTTATCTCTAAGTTTTGAAAAGAAGTTGTTTTCATTTGGCTTTTTCTCCTATTTCTCGCAATAGGTTTTAGGTTTTGAGCACATAATTAAATAGAGAAATGTTTTGAGTTCGCAATAATGTCATTTTAATTTAACTTTTATTCTTGAGAAGAAAAATTGAATTGCGAAAATATAGTTATTTGTAAAATGCATGATTCTGTAACAATGATATTTTAGCTATTTAAGCGTTAATTTCGGAGTTATTTTTTGTTGCGATTCGATCGCGTACAACACTGACAGCAAAAGTTTTCACGTAAAGAATGGAGATTAGCTAAGATTTCGATAACTTTAAATTGTTTCGGAATGACTGTTCCATTTTTAGTGATTTCGTAACGGTCGATATTTTATTAAGAAAAGTATAACCAAAGCAGCGGTTTTAATCATTTTGAATTTCCAACGTTTCGATTTATTAAAAAATCATTGTCAAGGATATATACAGAAAAACAGAAGTTTTATTCGAAAACACCACAGTCGTCTCAAACATTCTTTCAACTGAAAGACAAAATACCGAAACATCTTCAGTCAGACGTTGTCTATGCAGCAAAATGTGGTGATTGTAATGATAGTTATGTCGGAAAAACTGAACGACAATGTC